ATACAAATAGGTGGTAATTTGGTTCTGTCATTTTAGCAATGCATTGTTCATTGATTTAGTCTTTTGTTGTTATTTTACTGGGTTGTTCTTTGCATTTACCTTTGGTTTTGGTGGGCGCTAATCCTTTTCTCTGTCAAGAGAACAGCTTTAAGTATCATTTGTAGGGCAGGTTTGGAAGATGTATATTCTTTTAACATTTCTTTTCTGTGGAAAGAATTTGATTTCATTTTCATAGACAAAGGAAGGTTTTGCTGGTGGCTTTTCATTTAAGGGGATGTATAGTATAGTAACTGTGTAATGGAGACTACCATATCCAGATGTGAGGATACAATACAGTATGTATTTCTACTTTCAGACAAAGATGGACTTACAATGAAACTGCTTACCATATCATGACAATAGGATGTTGGACTTTCTGCCATTGTCCATGTCCGCTATGAAGGACATATAACTGTGTATGAAGAACTATACTGTAGTAATGATACAGGGCAACTCAGTGAGACGGGAGGGAGTTGAGGCGGGGATAAGGGAAATTGCAGGGCCTATGGAACTGTATTATAGCATGATAATAATAAGTTAAATGAAAAATAAAACAAAGCTTACCAAAATTTAAAAAAATGATTGAAATGACTCAATCCTGGACTTTACTTTGTTTTTTTTCTTTTCTCCTCTTCATGGATTATTTTTAGAACACCTCTAGTTCAAAACATTTTTAATGAAAAACCATGCAGAGTTTCATATATCTTTGTGTCTGCCCACCAAATTTCTCCTACTCTAAATATTCTGCACCAGAATGATGCATTTGTTGTAATCTATAAGCCTATGTTGATGCTTCCTTGTTGTCCAACCAGAGTTCATAGTTCACCTCACCTCCCCTTCAGCTCCCTGTTTGTGCCCCGGGAAAGCAGCCAAGGGTGGCCCAAAGCCTTTGGACCCTGCACCCGCGTAGGGAACCCGGAAGAGCTCCTGGCTCCTGGTTTTGGATTGGCTCAGTTTGAATCTTTGTGGCCTTCGGGAGTGAATCATTGGACGGAAGAACTTCCTCTCTGTCTCTCCTCCTCTGTTTAGATCCGCCTTTTCAATAAAAATAAATCTTTTAAAAAAATTGACACTAAAACTATAAGTTTTGTAGTTTTCCATTAGTTTTTTTTTTGTCTGAACCCTTTGTTTTTTGTTTTGTTTTTTCTTTTTTTTAAATTATTATATTATGACACAGTTTCATAGTCTCTGGGATTTTCTGTCCCCTCCCCACATCTCCTCGCCCTCACTACTTATTTCCCCTCTAGTATTACAATGGGTGTCATGAACAGTCATTAGTCCATCATCCCACTAATGAAGTGTTTCCCAACATTGTAGGCATGGATAATGTCGGAGAGTCCAGCATCCTACTGTCAGGATACGTTCAACTGTTTCACTGGGAATCCGTCTTTGGTCTGGATGCAGAGAGGTGTACCGCAGTATGTCTCTACATTAGGACCTGTCAGTCAGTCTCTGCTGCATTTCTGTTATACATCCCCTTAAATGCAGAACCAGAAAACACAGTCCACAATGGGATGAAAATCATCAACATGAAGTTAAAAAACATGCTACAGAATGACCAATGTGTTGCTTAAGTCACGAAAAAGAGAATCATAAACCTTCTTGTAGAAGTGGATGTTCTAAAAATAATCCATGAAAGGAAAAAAAAAAAAACATGCATGAAGTCATCTGCTAATTGTGATGTCACATTTGATGGGTTTGGAGACAAAAAGGGCAAGCAGCTGAACTGCCACAGAATCTGGATTTCCGGGGTACCAGAGGTGGAAGACAGTAAGATACTGGGGGAGGAAGTCTAGGCAAGACAGAAAGAAGAGAAGCTGATCAGATGAGGTGATGGGATGTAAAAATGTACAGATCAGAGGAGAGAATAATGATGTGATCAATAAATAAAGGCAACTTTAAAATTAATCAGAGCAAAAACGTCCAGAAGTTATCACAGAACACAGCAAGAGCCAATGAAAATGTTGACACTGTAATATTTACAAGCAGTGACAAAGCCCAATGTAGGAACCGAGGAGTTGAGCATTGAAGCTTTAAGGAAGGTGAGACCGGTTTTTGACAGAGAACTTTCATGGACCATGCATTCAGCCGGGGCTATATGTGCTTAGTTCTACACTGTTTTGATTTCATAGTGATCAGTACAGTCCTATCTCTACGTAGGATTGAATTATTTCCTAGCACAGAAATAATGTGCTTAACTTACAAAACTACACTAAATTTAAAATTCTTCACTGTGGTTTCATAAAAGTGAAAATCAATAAAATGATAGTCAAAGATTTAGTCAGTAAAGCTAGATCTCTTTCAACAAATGGTATTTTTCCTCTCTTAAGGATAGAGTGGTATTGGCAGAGATTAAACCACAGATAAAGAAGTAGAGGTCTCCAAGATCACAAGTTGATGACATGAGACTCAGGTTTAGCTTCTAAGTTTCCTAACTGGATACCAAGCACTTTCCCTTGTTACATGTCACCTTTCCAGAAGGTGTCAGTCTGGAAGAGTCACCGATTATGAAATAGGAAACATTTTGCCTTTCCAGCCATTGCCTGCTTTGGGTGCTGCAAAGTTCAAATGACAAGAAAAATATTTTGATTCTCTGCTCATGCCAACATTTCCCACTTGATGTGTTAGACTCAGGGAGAGTCCAACCCCGTGGAGGGGAGTCACACCGTCATTGGCAAAACAAGTCAAACGCAGAGGCTGCAATAAGCATGAGGATTTTATTGAGCATTCGCGAATGGGCAACAGGGTCTCTGGAGGCATCCAGGACTCTGCGCGCCCCAAGCAGGTTAAAGCATCTTTTTAAAGGACAAAACCGCAAACTTCGCATAACAGCTGGCATTTTACTTTAAGATTAGAATCTCTTTTATTCCTGCAGCTGCCTGCTCCGGCCTTGCTACCTTATCTCTTTTATTCCTGCAGCTGCCTTGTTCATGTCTGGGAAACTGAAACTTTTACTTCCTTCATGAAATAGTTTTTCTATATTTATTCCAACATGGCTCTACTCTTGCTCAGCAGAAAGCAATATACAGAAGCAAAATCAAGCGGTTATTCTAAGCTCTTACATTCCCCCCTTTTCTTTTAGGACATATTTTTATCTTAAAATATAAGCATTAGGAGGCATTTTCTTGTACAGGCTGATATTGGCTGGTTAATACAAAGGCTTGAATTATTGACAATCTTTCTTTTATGAACTGTAATAAACGATTAATAATGCAAGGTCCTATAGTTAAAAGGAGTAATAACAATATTAAAGATCCTGTTATAGCAGAGATGAGAGTGGTTAGCCAGGGTGATTGAGAGAACATGTTTTCAAACCATCCTTTTTGGGCTGACAATTCTTTCTGTCTTTTATTTAATCTGTCTCTGAGTCGATCTAAAGTCTCAGTCACACTTCCAGTTTGGTCAGCATAGAAACAACACTCTTCCTTTAAGGCGGCACACAATCCTCCTTCTTTTAACAATAGCAAATCTAGTCCTCTCCTGTTTTGCAACACTACTTCAGACAGAGAGGTAAGAGACTCTTTTAGTCCTCTGACTGACTGTTCTAAGGCCTGTAGGTCTTCATTCATAGCCTGGTGTAGTCCTTGGTAATAGTCTGTTCTCGACAGAGCAGTTGCTCCGGTGGCTATGCCAGCGGCTATTCCTCCTGTACCTAGTAACACGGCTAGAGTAATAGAGACAGGCTCTCGCTTGGCCCTCCCTGGATGTTCATAGGCAGCTAGAACAGTCTCAGACGGAAGGTACGTTATTCTTGGCCACAATTGAACAAGCACACAGAAGTCTTTGGTGACGTTAAGAACCTGTGCCGAGATACAAGGGGTCAGACCAGTGTTGCATGCCCAATAGATTCCATTAGGTGGTGTCAGATAATAATTTCCTATGGGGACATTTAAACTCTGGTTACATAGTCTAGATTTTATTGAATTTTTTCCTATACATAGACCTGTCCCACTGACATCAGTAAGTGTCAGTTCGTGCCCCATGGTGCTGCAGACTGGAGATGGGCTACTGGAGTTTGTTAAGTTTGCTATTGTGGCTATTCTTTCATAATAAGGTGGACTGGGGTTGAGGCATAGCCAGCAGTCCCTGGCTCTTTCGGGATCTGAAGAGTTAAGGGCTAGAAAGGCTCCTTTAACTAGATTTATGAGTCTTTCTCCCGTGTTTTTCGGCACTATAGTGGGGGAGGCCGGCATGCTAGTTTGTGGAGTTATTGTGTGGTTGAAAAATGGCCTTATAGGATGTTGAGGCTGTTGTCCTGACGGCCCGCGGAAGGCAGGCAGGACATGATTTGGGCCAATAGACTGGGTGGCTAAGGGCTCTATTTGGCGGGAGATAGTGAACAGAGTAAATGCGTCCCACCCTTCTCTGTAGAGCTGCAATCCCCATACTCTCGTCTTAGTCCAGTCAGCTTTTTCTCCGGCCGAGGTGAAAGAAATAACTAAAAGATTGCATCTGCCACCTGGGGTGCTCCCCGTTCTTCTAGTTATACTATCAAAGCATGGTCCGCAGTTTTGTTTCCAGTGACCCTGGCCGCAAATCCAGGGCCCTGTCCCTGAATACCCTGGAATATTTTCCCTCTTGACTGAGATGAGGTCAGTTGATTCAGTGAGTCAATACACTGTCCCGGTAGTTTCACAACCCCAACTAGCACAGTATCCTTCTTCAGCCCCCCCACACTGCTTGATTTTGGCTTTGCTATGTTCACTCCCCGGACAAACGTAAAAAGGGTCTGGCTCTGGTGTGTAACCGTCCCAGTACATTCTCACAGCCATACGCGTTCCGACTACTAGTTCCTGAATAAGGGAGACCGGGAGTCTCCCATGCTCCTCCAACTAGGTCACATAGATCAAAATATAACTTGGGAAAGGTAATATCAACCGGTCCAATGACTTGAGTGCTATTTATGACTGTTCCTATTTCTAAACTACTGATTTTCCAGGTAATTTTATGGGGGCTATGTGGGTTATAATCTGACAATGAACATGGAAGAGATAGCAAAGTCAAAAAGTACATTTTTAAGCACGAGTCAGTCTTATCTTTAGAGGATTTGGGGTTCGTTGAAGTTTCCATTCTGGTTCCTGGTCAGTCCCTGTAGTCCCTGTTGCTGGCTGATCCTTGGCGTGTTTCACGTGGGAGGCATGTACCCAGGCGGCAATTCCGTCGACTTTCAGGGCGGTTGGAGTAGTCAGTAGGACAGTAAAGGGTCCTTTCCACCGTGGTTCTAAGGTTTTTGCCTGGTGTCTCCGGACATACACCTGGTCTCCTTCCTTGAACGGGTGAGGGCACGGTGGAATGTCTTTGTCCTTGTAGGCCTCTGCAAGCGGTTTCCAGATGTACTCTCTCACTGCTCTGAGAGCCTGGAGATGCGCCTGTAACGAGGGTGGATGGGGGAACATGGTAGGATCAAAATCACAGAAAGAGGATGCCGGTGGTGGGCTCCCATATAATATTTCAAAGGGAGTCAGCCCATGGTATGCAGGAGTGTTGCGCACTCGAAAAAGGGCCATAGGGAGGAGCCGTATCCAGTCTTTTCCGCCAGTCTCTAGGGCTAATTTAGTCAAGGTCTCTTTTAGAGTTCTATTCATTCTTTCTACCTGGCCTGAACTCTGGGGTTGATAAGCACAATGTAGTTTCTAATGAATCCCCAAACTCTTGGCCACCCCCTGACTTACCTGGGAGGCGAAAGCGGGACCGTTATCTGACCCTAATACTTGCGGCAATCCGTACCGGGGAAAAATTTCTTCAAGGAGTTTTTTAACGACTGTCGTGGCCGTTTCATTCTTCGTGGGGTAGGCTTCTACCCAGCCTGAAAAGGTGTCTACAAAAACTAAGAGATATTTATAATCATACAGTCCCGGTTTTACTTCAGTAAAGTCTATTTCCCATTGTATTCCCGGTCGGTGTCCTTGGGCACGGGCTCCTTGGGGAAGTTTTAGTCGCCCTGCGTTTACCTGGGCACAAGGCTTTCTCTTAGGTCTTGGACGGGCCTATAGTCATTTGTCCCCGGCTTCTGCACTGGTAGGAGAGGAGTGTTCCACGGTGACCGGCAAGGAATGAGAATTCCCAGTTTTAGCAGTCTGTGGATGTGGGGGCGAATGCCCTCAAAGGCTTTCCTTGACATGGGATATTGTCTGATAGCCACGGGCCCTGCAGTAGCCTTTAGTTGTACGTGTACTGGTGTACTGGTGGCTGTTGCACTGACAATCCCATGCCACCGTCTCTGTCCATGCATCTGGGAATTCAGTCATCCATCTCTCCATGTAAGGTGGGGTTCCCTCTTTGTTAGTTTCAGTTTTTCTAATGGCCTCATGTAGTTTGTATTCATTTTCTAATTTTAGGGTTAAGATGCACAGGGATTTCCCTTGAGGCCCAGTCACTGTTATTTCTTGGTCTTTAAAGTTGATTTGTGCTCCCAGTTTTGTCAGAAGATCTCGTCCCAATAGGGGGTAGGGACAATCAGGCACATGTAAAAAGGAGTGAGTGACAGTACCTGTAGCTAAGTCGACCCGCCGATCAGTCGTCCACCGGTACGCGCGTCCTCCTGTGGCTCCCTGTACCCACGAGGTCTTCTGGCTCATAGGTCCATCAGTAGTTGTCAAAACTGAATGTTGAGCCCCGGTGTCTACTAGAAACGTGGTGGGCTTGCCTCCCACAGACAGAGTTAGCCTGGGCTCAGGGGGAGGCTCCTGGCCCCGACTGGCCTAGTCTTCTAAAGTCAAAACTGAGGTCTGCCTTTTCTTGTTTCTAGGATTGTTGGGACAATCCTTTGCCCAATGGCCGTTTTCTTTACAGTAAGCACATTGATCTTTCCCTAAACGGTTTCGCCGCTCACCTCCCTGTTCCTTAAACTGTCTCCCTATCTCAGTTCCCTGGGATGTTATTTGCTTGTTATGAACTACAGTGGCCAAGATACGGCTCAGTTCTTTATTCCGTCGCTTATCTCTCTTATCCTCTCTTTCTTCCTGCATCTTTCTTAGTCTCTCTTCTCTCTCTCCGGAGTCTCTCTCTTATTGAAAATTTTATCTGCCTCTTTTACTAAGTCCTGCAAGCTATAATTCTGCAATCCTTCTAGTCTTTGTAACTTATTTCGAATGTCTGGTGCCGACTGTCCTATGAAAGCCATAATCACTTCCCCCTGCCTATCTTTACTTGCCGGATCAAACGGTGTATACATGCGGTATGCTTCCATTAGTCTTTCTAAGAATCCCGCGGGAGTCTCCCCAGCTCCCTGTAGAACTGCTCTTATCTTAGCCAAATTAGTGGGTCGCCTTCCGGCACCCTTGAGACCTGCCAACAGAGTCTGGCGATAAAGACGGAGACGCTCCCTACCATTTGGAGTGTTGAAGTCCCAATTAGGTCGGACAAGGGGGAACACTTCATCAATTTCGTTTGGAAGTTGGGTGGGCTGCCCATCAGCCCGAAGGACATTCTTTCTGGCCTCCATCAGCACCCGTTGGACTTCTTCTGTGGTCAGTAGAGTCCGTAACAGCTGCTGACAATCATCCCAAGTCGGCTGGTGCGTCAACAAGATGGACTCGATGAGACCTGTTAATGCTTGGGGGTCTTGGGAGAAAGGAGGGTTATGAGTTTTCCAATTATACAAATCAGAGGCAGAGAAAGGCCAATACTGGACCTGCCCCCCTACAATTCTCAAGGGGTACAATTGTGAAGACCATTGCCCTTCTCCTCTTTCTCCCTCCTGCAATTGAGCCCTGCGTAGCCGTAACCTGGTATGGATTGGGGATCTGGCTTCAGGCTGTTCATTTACAGTGGTGTCTGGAGAGCCCATCTCCCCCGGTCTTCCTCTTGGGGGTTCTCTTTCAGGTTGATGCTCCTGGGGATAAGGTGGAGGAAGTTCAGAGGTCATTAATAGGTCCATCTGACTATCATCAGGCAGGACAGGCTTAGGTCGAGGACGAGTAGCTTCCAGCGGACAGAGGGAAACAAGAGCAGAGGGTTGGGGTTGGGGCGGAGCTGAAGGCGCCGGCAATTCTGGAGAAGGAGGAGGAGGACAGGGTGCGATGAGAAAAGGTTGAGCCCACGGCGGGGGATTAACCACGAGGTCCTCCCATACCAAGATATACGGTAACTGGTCAGGATGCCCCAATGGTTTTGTCTCTATAGCCCTAAACTCCAGCCACTCTTCACACTGCAGGACAGGTTTATAGCAAAGCAATGCAGACTAAGCTTGGTCTAAACACACAGGAACCAGCAGCCAGGACCCAAGGGCTGCAGGCAAGACACTTTCGGCATCACCAGTTGTAGACCCTCTCAGAACAAACTAAATCTTTTACTGGGTGGCCCCCAGGAAACTTACAAGAGGTCATTAATACTATAAATACTATGAACAAGAGTTTTTACACAGCACATTAAATATCATCTGGCTTGTTACAAAAGTTATCTGTAGACTCTAGGCGTGCTGGGAGCAGGAGCCCCCGGAGCCTGCCTGTGGGGATTTGCATGGGGCTGGCTGGGAGGGCAGAGGCGAGGAGGGCACAGGGAGGCCTGGGGTTCCCGGCCTGTCTACTCCCACAGCCAGTCCCTCAGAGAGAATGAAACAGGAGGAGGATCCGATCAAAGTCTTCTTGGGTCAATCTGCTGACCTCTGGGCAGCCGCAGCTGGTACCTGTGCCGGGCAAAGGGAAAACCAGGGACGGATCCATGGGGGGATTCTGAGACAGATTTCAAACCAGGATAAGGCTGCTGATCAGGGTGGCCTTTTGGACCTGTTGGAAAAACAATCCTTTAAACTGTTTGGATGATAAGAGCCTCCTTTCGGCCAGCCCAGGTTGAAAACGGGGCCCTTCTGCAGAGCAGAAAGTCTGTCAAGATCTTTTCTTAACCGGGAGGGAGAGGTCGTGAGTCCTGTCCTTATCTTCAGTCCAATGGTCAAGAGTCAAACTAAGGGGAATCGTCACAGTCTGTTCCATAATTAAAGACAAAAGACCACACACAATAATTACAAAACAAATGACACAAACAGGATTCGCGCGATGCAAGATTTCCTAAGGGCCCGATACAAAATACAAGAAGGTCGACCGTACAAAGCCAGACGAGGGTGAAGTGATCTTCACCCCGTCTCCAAGGCACCGGAGCGTCCCCCGGCGTACAAGATCAAACCGGTACCGTTCAAAGACTGGGGGGGGACAAGGACAGTACAGAACAACACAAAAACAAAAAACACACTTTCCGATCGGTCTTACCTCCCTCTGCGAGAGTTGTTTGCTGAAGACGGTCGCTCCATTCCCGGCCAATGCACCAAAATGTTAGACTCAGGGAGAGTCCAACCCCGTGGAGGGGAGTCACACCGTCATTGGCAAAACAAGTCAAACGCAGAGGCTGCAATAAGCATGAGGATTTTATTGAACATTCGCGAATGGGCAACAGAGTCTCTGGAGGCATCCAGGACTCTGCGCGCCCCAAGCAGGTTAAAGCATCTTTTTAAAGGACAAAACCGCAAACTTCGCATAACAGCTGGCATTTTACTTTAAGATTAGAATCTCTTTTATTCCTGCAGCTGCCTGCTCCGGCCTTGCTACCTTATCTCTTTTATTCCTGCAGCTGCCTTGTTCATGTCTGGGAAACTGAAACTTTTACTTCCTTCATGAAATAGTTTTTCTATATTTATTCCAACATGGCTCTACTCTTGCTCAGCAGAAAGCAATATACAGAAGCAAAATCAAGCGGTTATTCTAAGCTCTTACACAAGAACGCAAATGGTCCTGGGAAGGCCAGCCTCCAGAGTAAGGAAGTGCAGGGCCGACACAGACAGAGCCCTCTTCGTCACGGGCCTTTCCGGGAGCGCGGGAGGGGAGGGTTAGTGCGCCCTCCCCATCATCGTCCAGGTGACGACTGGCCAGCATCGCTTGAGTCCATGGGGGAAGAATTACATAGGGGCGGGAGGTACGACTTCTCCACTCGTAAACCTGAACTTGCTGCCTAAGACAGAGACAGTCATCCCCTTAATGTTCATGTCTGGGGGTGCCGGGTGCTGCAAAAGTCTGAGCTTTGTGGAGCTCTCCTGTGAACTGTGCTGCTTCTCAACTATGAACGTAAAATTTCTGTTAAAATAGATGTTAGTTTAACAGTCACTGCTTGTCCTCTCTCAGTGTCACTTTCTTAAGAGTTTATTCCCACTTCCGTGTCTTCAGTTCTGTAACTGTCATGTTTGGGAGAAGGCAAGAGGTCATTCCAGCGTCTTACTTCCGTGGCCTAGACAAACCTTCACGAGTCCTTCACCAAGAGAAGCAGTGACTAGATCTCTTTTTCTAATTGTGTCCAGCCCATAGCCCTTACCTGAGAAGTGATGACTGTAGACTTGAAGTCTAAGAAGGGGTTACAGTAGTGGGTGCTGCGTAGGTTCATTTAGACTTTGCAGATGGGGAACTAGAACAGCATACAACACACATCCCAGCAGCGCTTTTGTGTAACAGGACAGCACCAAATTCGTGCTTAAAGTGGTAGGTGCAAAGTTCTGGATTCTAAGCTAAGAATTCTAGTTGAGACTTACTGTTCCCTTAATGAAATAATGGTGCAATGTTCTAGCATGCCATTAGCTGACTTTCCCCGAGCTGTGTGCAGTCTCACAGTAACTATGCCCTGAGTAGTTATTGGACAACGAGGACCTCTTGGCTTTGGAAAGATCTGAAAATGATACATCTCCATGTTCATTACATTTGCAGTTGTGAGTAAGCATTGCAAAAAAGCAAGACTTTGATTCTCCTGTAATTGCAATTTATCAGAATTTTATTAAGTAAATATAGAAACATTTTGAATAGAAAAGTGGTGAGTATTAAAGCAGAGTAGGGCACTTTTGGAAGATCCACATTTCAGACAGCCTCCCCTTAGACAGCTAAGCAGGAACCGAGTTCAATGTGCCTTTGTTGGATCAGCGCTTTCTCTCTTTTTTAACAGCCGCAGCTGGTGGTGGCCAGTAACTCGCACAGATATCTGGACGGTTTCTTTCTGTTGAAGAAACAACCCCTTGTTCTACCCCAGACGGATTATCAAGGTCATGTTCTTGCATAAAAGCATCATCAGTCCCACGTGAACCAGGGGTCTCCACCTCTTCTCAATTACAGATCTGTTCCTGCGCCACTGCTTTTTGCCCTGCTCTGCCCCCCTGCTTTAATGCAGTAAATTGCTGGTGTGACCCAGCTATGTAGGCTAGGATGGGGGTTAATTTTCAAAACAATGCTTGTTTGCTAAAGCCCATTTCTTCAGCCTTGTCTTGAGCTACGCGTGACTTTACCTTCCTGTTTTTCCGTCTAAGCTCAGAAAATAAGGAACTCACCTACTTTTACGAGAGCAGAAACATATATATATATATAAATATATTTTTTCCTCCTGTTCCCACAAATATACATGCAGCCTGGATTTGGCCTGAGAAGGAATTGAGTCGCTAAGCGAGTGCAGAGTGGGGATGTCTCCTGCCTTCACGAGCTTCTTGACTCTGAACCAACCCAGCTCTTCATCAATTCAAGTAAGGAAGAGAACCAATGCCAGAAGTGACTGCTGCCCCACAGTGTGTCTGTTCGAATTTCAGTGACCGTTTCCCTGGGCTTACTCTCTCAGCATT